GTGTTAGGCCACCCAGTTTGCAGTCTTTTGTCATGGCAGCCCTTGCAAAGTACATGCCACCCTCTGTCTTCTCTCTGGTTCCTTAGGATCCCATTCTCATGAGTCCCCTACAGAGTAGACCATAACATGCTGACATCCGGAAATACCTTCTGTTCTAAATCTTCTACCCATTCTTTCTTTTTTTGAGATGGAGTTTTCTTCTTGTTGCTCAGGCTGGAGTGCAGTGGTTCAATCTCAGCTCACTGCAACCTCTGCCTCCTGGGTTCAATCCATTCTCCTGCCTCAGCCTCCTGTGTAGGTGGGATTACAGGTGCCCACCACCATGCCCGGCTAATTTTCTGTATTTTTAGTAGAGATGGGGTTTCACCGTGTTGGCCAGGCTGGTCTAGAACCCCTGACCTCAGGTCACCCACCCACCTCGGCCTCCCAAAGTGCCGGGATTACCGGGGTGAGCCACCACGCCCGGCCTACCCATTCTTAACATTGTTCTCATTGTAAATGCTGCCATCAGCAACTGATGGGGTGGTCCAGACCACGAGCAAAATATCGGACCAGAACAGGGTCTGAACATGGAAACAGGGCCAGAGGTGGAGATGTATAGTGAACAGGACAGAAAACCAAAGGAGTCAGTCTGAGGTGGGTACAAACTTGCAGAAGAAAGACCAGGCAGGGCGTTCTCACAATAACCAAAGACAAGTGAGTCCAAGACCCAGGCTGTCGACAGAAGCAGAACTATACAGGGAGCAAAACCAGGGCCAGGCACAATGGCTCACGTTCAGAATCTCAGCACTTTTGGAGGCCAAGGCAGGAGGATCTCTTGAGCCCAGGAGTTCAAGGCCAGCCTGGGCAATATAGTGAGATCCAGCCTCTACAAAAAATAAAATTAATTAGCTGGGCGTAGTGGTGCATGCCTGTAGTCCTAGTCACTTGGGAGGCTGAGATGAGAGGATCAGTTGAACTGGAGGCTGGGGCTCCAGTGAGCTGTGATTGTGCCCCTGAACTCCAGCCTGGGTGACAGAGTAAGAGCCTATAACACCGTGATCCCCGATCTTTTTGACAGCAGGGACTGGTTTGGTGGAAGACAATTTTTTCCACGGACAGGGGAGATGATTTTGGGATGAAACTATTCCACCTCAGATTATCAGGCATTAGATTCTCATAAGGAGCACGCAACCTAGATCCCTCGCATGTGCAGTTCACTTTAGGGTTCGAGCTCCTATGGAAATCTAATGCAGCCATGGATCTGACAGGAGGCAGAGCTCAGTTGGTAAAGCTCACTTCCCCTCCGCTCACCTCCTGCTGTGCGGCCCAGTTCCTAACAAGCCACAGACCAGTAGCAGTCCGTGGCCCAGGGGTTGGGGATACCTGCTGTAATTGTAATAGGTCTGGGACTCCCCCGAGCTTCAGATGCTGATTCCACCACTTTACACCAGAGGAGAGTTTTCAGTTTCCAAACCACTTTCACAGGCAGTGTCTCACTGGGTCTTCAAAAGCAGCCTCATGAGCTGAGTAGAGCTATCATGTAATCTCCAGTCGATTCACAGGCAAAGAAACAGAAAGGCTAAGTGACTTGTTGAGTGTTTCACTGTCACTTAACTGCTTATTAGCAGGGTGTGTAGAGAAAAGAAAACGGACCTTGAGTCTGGTAGACAGAGTGAGAGTCAAAACAAGGAAGTTATTCGATTTATATGAGGCTCTCCTTTACCTTGTCACTATTTTTTTTTTTTTTGAGACGGAGTTTCACTCTTGTTGCCCAGGCTGGAGTGCAGTGGCGAAATCTTGGCTCACTGCAACCTCCACCCCACCGATCCAAATGATTCTCCTGCCTCAGCCTACCAAGTAGCTGGTACTATAGGTGCCTACCACCATGCCCGGCTAATCTTTTTTGTAATTTTAGTAGAGATGGAGTTTCTCCATGTTGATCAGGCTAGTCTTGAACTCCTGACCTCAGGTGATCCACCCGCTTCGGCCTCCCAGAGTGCTGGGATTACAGGCACGAGCCACCGCACCTGGCCTTTTTTT